GTGGTGAATGTAGTAGAGCACTAGCCTTGAGCTGAAGAACTGAGGGACCAGAGTTCAAGCTCCATGACCAACAAAAAGAAATGTCGACAACATGACAGACCTAACCAGACACTTGTCAATGGTAACCCTCAATATCAATGGACTTAACTCTCCAATTAAAAGACAGAATGAGTAGTTGGATCAAGAAGTAAGATATGTCCATATGTTGTTTACAAGAAACACATCTTGTTGACAAAAGCAGACATCTACTCAAAATGAAAGGTTGGGATAAAATCTTTCAAGCAATTGGCCCCAATAAACAGTCTATTGTAGTAATCCTAATATCAGATAAAATAAACTTCAAATCAAAATTAGTATAAAGAGATAAAGAAAGCCATGTTAATAAAAGGTGCTCTTCAGCAGGAGGATACACCAATTCTAAATATCCATGCACCAAACTCTGGAGCACCCAACTTCAACGATCACATTCTGCTGGACACAAAACCACCTTTAGCTCCAATCACATGGATGGCTGTCAACTTCAACACATCACCAACAATTCTAGATATATCATCCAGACAAAAATTCAGCAAAGAGTCTGCTTTTATTCCAAGGTCTTTAATCCATTTGGAGTTGATTCTGGTGCAGGGTGATATATACAGATCGAACTCTAGTTTTCTACAAGTGTTTAACCAATTTTGCCAGTACCATTTACAGAAGAGGCTGTCTTTCCTCCATTCTATTTCTTTAGCTCCCTTGTCAAAGATTAGGTGGCTATAGGTCTGTGGGTTCATTTCTGGGTCTTCAGTCCTATTCCATTGGTCCTCAGGTCTGTTCTTATGCCAGTACCAAGCTGTTTTGATTACTATGACTTTGTAGTAGAGTTTGAAACTTGGAATTGATATTCCTCCAGCGCTGTTCTTTCTACTAAGGATTGTTTTTGCTATTCGGGGTCTTTTATTGTTCAATATGAATTTTTGGATTGCGTCTTCTATTTCATTGAAGAATGAGGTTGGGATATTGATATATTTTGCATTGAATTTGTAGCCTTTGGCAGTATTGCCATTTTCATGATGTTAATCCTCTCAATCCAGGAGCTTGGGAGGTTTTTCCATTGGTTTAGTTCTGCCTTAATTTCCTTTTTAGGTTTTTAAAGCTTTCATCATCACCTCTTTTGTTAACTCTTAAGTATTTTATTTTTTGTGGGGCTATTACAAAAGTGGTTGCTTTCCTAATTTCAGCCACACTCTTCTCATTATTGGTATACAGGAAAGCCATTGATTTCTGAGGGTTGATTTTATACCCTGCTACTTTGCCAAAGTTTCCAATCAGCTCAAGTAACTTGGGAGTGGAGTCCATGGGGTTGAAAACATTACAAGAAGGAATAGGAGAAACTCTAGGGCTCCTTGGCACCGACCAAAGTTTTCTTAATAGAGACCTAGAATCACAACAAATCAAAGAAAAGTTGGACAAATGGGATTGCACAAAACTCCAGAGCTTCTGCATAGCAAAGGACATAGATAGTATGATCAATAGAAAGCCAATAGATTGGGAGAAGATCTTCACTATCCATACAATGGGTAAGGGTCTCATATCTAAAATATACTTAGAACTCAAAAAACTAAATCCCCCAACAAAACAAATCCTCAAAGAAACAACTGCATGTTTAATAAGGTGGGCTAAAGACTTAAAGAGAGACTTCTCTGAAGAGGAATTAAGAATGGCCAGTAGACACATGAAGAAATGCTCAACTTCTCTAGCCATAAAAGAAATGTAAATCAAGACAAGGTTGAGATCCCACCTTACCCCAGTTAGAATGGCTATAATCAAGAAATCTAGTAACAAGAGATGCTGGAGGGGATGTGGCTAAAAGAGAACCCTACTGCATTGTTGGTGGGAATGTAAACATGTTCAATCACTCTGGAAAGCAGTCCACATACAGCTCCCCTATGACCAAGCAATTCCACTTTTGGGTATTTACCCAAATGATCACAGGCAAGGTCATACCAAAGCTACCAGCACAACCATGTTTATTGCAGCATTATTTACCATACCTAAGATATGGAACCAACCCTGATGTTCTCAGTAGATGAATGGATCAAGAAAATGTGATACACACACACACACACACACACACACACACAATGGAATTCTATGCCTCCATCAG